TATTATAAACTACAACACTTACACCACACATAGTATGATAATAAGAAAAAAAGTCTACATCAATAACATTTAAAATATTTTTTTTATGAGAATCATAATTTCAAACACTTCAAAAAACAAATCTAAATGAACGTATAACACAGTTTCAATCGGTTGCAATAGCTCTAATTGACGGTGGAATTCGTTTTTGTCAGCCGTCTACTATAGTCCATTTATACAATACCTTGACAGTGCCAAAGCTTATATATGGCCTTGAGCAATGCGACTATGACATTAGTTTTCTAAGAAACATAGACGCTGTTGGAAGAGCAGTTTTAAAATCATTTTTTTGTATTTCAAAGTATAGCAAAAATTACCTACATTCTTTTTTTAAAATAGAAGATATTTCAACTACTCTTGAAATAAAGTAAACCTATTAATTAGGCTACTGAAAATCAAACTTGCTATTCGCTGATAATTAGCCAATTACTGGCTACACAAAATAAAAAATCATTTATAAACGAAGTGATTGCTATAAGTAAAACTCGTGGCTTGAACATCTTTCAATGCACGATAGAAGGTAAAAAAATTAAATCCACACTACCTCAAGAAGAACTGCAAGCTGATACTATATCTTTTTTTTTTTTGTTTTTTTTTTTTTTTTGTTTTTTTTTTTTGTTTTTTTATCTTTATAATGTTATGATTCTACATGATTGGTACAAAGTTATAATGCTTTTAAAATATATAATACTAAAAATATATCACAATTTTATAGAATACAAAAAATATGATTGTAGGGTATCATTAATATTAAAATCAATATTAAAAGATAATATTATTATTAAAACAATATTAAAAGATAATATTATACCAATATTAAAAGAAACGTTCCAATTATGAAACTTAAAAGAACAACGAGAAAAATTTAAAACAATAATGGAGGAGAATATTTCTAAAATAGATCTAACCGTCTAGTCGGTCTAGTTATTGGCATTAAAGACAAATATTTAGAGAGCCGAGAATTTAATTTGTAACTGTTTTAATATAAATTAATTTTACCTGTAATTTTATTACTGGGTGTTTAATAGAAAATAATAAAAATAATAATAATAATGTTTATATGTGTACTTTACGCAATACCCAAAGGTTCTCGATGATAAGACTAAACTCAGTCTTCTACGAGTTCCCTACAACAGTCAAAACCTTTATCAAGTCATAGAATATTTAATTATTGCTTCCTATGGTTAACTTAACGGTGTTTTGTAAAATGTTATTATTTTTTTGTTTTAGAAGTATATTTTGTTTATGTTATTACAGTGTAAAAAAATTGTAATTAATATGTAGTTGTGAAAATTTAAAGAAAAGAAAAAAATATTTGCAAACTTTGTTTGAAACTAGAAAAAAAAATTGGAAAATAGAAAAATAGAATCCCAAAACTGTACTTTAACTTTCTTACTTAGTTTGTCCCAAAATCTCTCTACTCCGTCCACTACTCTAATTCTATTTCAGATTCTTGAATGACTTTGTTGACAAAAAAACTTGACAAACTTTAAGCAACATAACTAACAACCAGCCATTTTGTTGCCAGCCATTCTAGTTGCACTTTACTTTCAGAAAACATATAATTTTAAAACTTTTCTAAAGTAAGGTGCAATAGCTAACAATGTATTTTAATTTGTTTTTGCCAAGTTTCATTGTAGATTCAATCTTGTTTTTTTGGAATTACTGCCTGAAATGTTTTCACATCCATCAAATCCCTGCATTAAGTTTACCTCTAACATAATTGTTGATTGAGATTGTGTACAAGGAAATTGTATTTCAGTTACATCTGGGTTACAGTATGTGGTTAAACTCAATAGTTTAACCACATACGTAATAGGGGTCAATAATTGTTTTGATTCATTCTTGAATTGCTTTAATGTAGTCTTGTTTTGTTGACAATATCTGGGAAATTTTTTTCCATTGATAAGGTTTGCGATATTTCATTGAATAGGAAGTTAATTTTAAATTATACTTAAGTTAACTTCCCATTTAAAAAAAAATAAAGTTGTTATGTGAAAACTTTGTTGAATACTAAAATAAAAATTTGAAAGGTTTAGGGACAATCCCATTTTTGTTTTAAAAATAAACATTAAAACTTAATGTAAATTGACACATTTAATGCAACGAGCACACCAAAAAGTGATTTGCAAAGAGCAATTCTATAGGCTCTAAAGACTATTTTGCGCGCATATTTTTGATTGTTGTAGATTTTTTTATTTTTGTATAGCTAGTACTAGTCTACACAGTAATATTCACATATTCACAAATAACCTTGTTCAATTTGAGGAGGTTACAAATTTTATACGGTTATAATATTTTGAGCGCTAAGATATTATACTACGAGACTTAAAATTTATCGTTGAATATAATTCTAGTTAAAAATAGTACAAAAATATTTTATCAACTTGTTACTCTCACGTTTGAGGTAAGACCAAAAATACTGGATCCGTCCCTACATTAAGATACTCATTTTTATCATTGTCTTTTTACAACGATCGTTCTTATTCTTTTTGCTCCGCCGCTTCTCTCTTTCCTGTACAATATGCTCTTTCTATTTGTATTTTTTTTTGTGTGTACTTTATTTTGCTGTTAAAGAATGTTTACATTGCATATAAACATTATATGCAATATAGAGTAGCAAATAGTTAAAAAGTGTTAAATGAAGTGTCAAAAAAAAAAAGAAAAATTTGTTTTAAACCAAATTACTTGCAATACAACATGTCGTTCTCAGTTAGATGATTATATAGCCTATTATACACTATTCTCTCTAAGAATTTTGAAAAACAAGGTAGTCTAGATATAGGCCTGTAATCTGATATATTTGACTCATCTCCAGATTTAAAAATTGGTGTTATACGAGCTATTTTTAGTTTGTCAAGAACAATACCTGTCTTAATTGAAAGGTCAAAAACATGAAATAAATATGACTCAATAATATCAAATACTGATTTGACAGTATCAACACAAATTTTATCAAAACTTTTTTTTTTTACTTTTGAGATTGCTAAATGCAGCTCTCAGCTCGCTAAGTTTTAAACTAGTTTTGTCCATAAGTTTATCATAAGTTTTAAAATAAAAATCAAAAGAGTTAGGTAGAATTTCTGCAGCCATTTTTGACCAATATTAACAAAGTAATTGTTTAGTTCTTCAGCTTTAATAGATTTATCATAAATTATCATAAATTAATTTCTATTAATTGAAAGATTTTTTGGCAGAGTGTTTTTCATAATTTTTTTGGCAGAGTATTTTTTATATTCATATTTTTTACTCTGGAAACCTATAATTTTGTTCGTATAACTCTAACTTTTGGCAAGGTTAGGGTTTACCTCGTTTCGTTCGTTTCGCTTACCTCTAGCTTGAGATGCTTATTTTCTTATTTCAATAACGTATAGTCGGATTCTTATTTTTGAAATAATTTATTGAAAATTGTTATCAAGGTATTTTTGTGCATCTCTAACGGTTTTTTTTAAATGAATTATTTGTAAATGTAATATTCTTTGCGATGTTTGGTCCAGCTGAGATAAAATGCTTGTCAATTTCTATCTTATTATAATTTTATTTAAAACTTAACCATTAACTTTCACACTATTAGACAAACTGCCTGATTTAGGTATGTATTTACAAATGATTTCTCTTAAACATGCAAAGTGCGTCTCAAATTTTTGTTTTGTTTTTATTTTTGTTTTGTAACGCACATTTTTGATATTTAACATTTACAATCAATGATTTTAATACTTTGGTTGACTCAGAAAAGAATAGAAATGTCCTCGTGCAATAATCTTTTTAAAGCCCTCCTTCTCCATGTGAATCATGCAACAAAAATTGTATTTATTATCTCTTAAGATATAATTTCAAGAAAACAGAGTATATATATAAAACAAAAAATTTGCACAGAAAAATCCACAAAAAAACTATATTTTAAATTCCCTTATTTATAAAACTGTTTAAAGTTTAATATGCTTGATCAAGCATATTAAACTTTAAACAATTTTATAAATAAGGGAATTTAAAATATAGTTTTTTTGTGGATTTTTCTGTGCAAATTTTTTGTTTTATATATATTCTCTGTTTTCTTGCAACTAGCAAAATCAATATTCAATTGAATATTGATTTTGCTAGTTACCATAACTTAATTGACGATTAATTTTTTTTTTCTTAATTGACCACCTACAAGTTTTCTAATTGCGGTTTATGGTCTTCCTTTCTTTGGTAACTTACTGCTACAGCGCATTTGTTAAACGTATATACTTCAAAGTAAAAAAATTTATAAAAATAAAAGAATTTAAGAAAAATTAATATCTTATATCATAAGATATTAGTTTTTAAGATTTATAATAATTTAATTAATAAGATATTAATTAGATGCACATGCTTACATCAGTGCAAAGTACGCTTTCTCAATGCTATCTTTCTATCTCAACTTTTTCTGACTTTCACTCAACTATCATTTGTTTTTCTTAAACCAACTTACTCTTGGTCTGCGAAGCGGGTTATGATGCTCTTTGATGAGCTGAACTCGTCTTCGCGGGCCTTGGTAGTGTGGCCTCTGTATGGCAATTAACTGGAGGAAGAAAACCACAATACCTACTTCGAAGCAAAAAAATAAAAACAAAGTCAGAACACTGTTTGAAATAATAAGACTTAAGCAAAACAGATAATAATAATTAATAGTAATAAGAAATTTTATTTTACTTTATTACGCCAATTACATACTACAAAAAACTCTGTTACAACTAAAAAAAAAACTATAATTCATTTCGTCCCTAAACTCCTAAAGACCTTGCTGTGGCGCACCAACTTTACCCATCCTTTCATTGGGGCTAGGTTAATTTTATTACTGAAATAAATTCTCTCTTGAATTTAACGGGTGGAAATTAAAATTTTCTCTTGAATTTAACAGTTGGAAACGGTTTATATTTGATCCTTTATTTGTTTCATTCCGAATAATAAAATTCCGTATAATTCATAATTTCCTTGTCTCTTAACGTCCGACACTTTGCTGGGTCACTTTCAAAATGGCTTTACAAAGTGCTAGTAGATATAACACTCTCTCACCAGAGTCAATTTTAAATTTTAGTTCAAAATCAAATTTCGGATTATATGATACTTTTACCTTAAATAATGATCTTAATTGTCCAGGATTGAATTTTCCTTTACCAAATGTATCAGATGTAGGTAGTTCTCTAATTTCTTTGTGCTTTATATTTATTAGGAAAGTGCAGTATAAATATTTTAGTAATGTTTTACTGAGATCTATATAAATTTTATAAATACCAAAGTTTTATTGTTTTTTTATTATTTAGATGCTCATTTTAACTTTCATGCTAAATTTTTATCTAAAAAAAAAATTAAAAAATAAAAAAAAGGTGAAAAGTTTAAAAATATAATAACGGAACTTTATTACTAATAAAGCAAAATCTCATGTCAAATAATAAAAGTCATGTTTCAAGCATTATCAATCAATCATTTTTTTTTTTACTTTATTTTCAAATTAGCTGTGCAAATATATATCAAGGAAGAGTTAAAATTAGTTTTTGACTAATTAAACTTTACAAAAAATGCTAATACTGTATATAGTTATAATATTAAGTTATGTCTGCATAGTAATATCAAAATATTTTTTAATATAATATTTTTGAATAAGAAATATATATTCAAAATAATTTTGAATATATATTTCTTATACACCATCATAACTTTTTTGAATGCAATGTTTCAGAAATAAAAGTTTTATCAAAATTGGGTCATTCTAAAAAGAGTTTTTAATGCAAAGTTTTAAAAGCAAGTTAAAAAAAAAAAAAACAAGTTTCTTAACTTGTAATGTCTTAACTTTATTTGTTTTTATTGAAATGAATTTAGATTGTTATTAATTGCCATTCACAGAAGATTTTTTTTTATATATATATATATATCTGATTAACAAATGTGTATAGATATTAAAAAAACATAAAAAATAAGGGCTATTTTAACTTTAGAAGTTAACTGGATCCAAAGTTGTTGCATTTTTTGTGCTGAAAAACTGATGATTTTTTGACATAATGCCTTGTCCTTTAGTATGAAAAATTAAGCGTGAAATAGCACCGAAATAAAATAAAAAAACATCAAAAATTAAGCACAAAAGCAACAAACAATATGCAAAAGTAAAAAAACATATGCATAATATCTAAAAAAAATTCTTTTGTACCATTTCTTCAAGAAAACATAAATAAATACCTGATTTGAATAGAGGAAAGGCTATACTAGCTTTTTTCATAAGGAACCTTTTTAAAAAAAGATTTTTTTTTTTTTAATGAACTGACCTTGAAGTTTTTAAATGCTTAGAATTTAGAAATAATATATAAATGTTAAAAGGTTCCCCATTTCATTAGATTCCTTATCCTTTTCTTAAACTATAAAAAAATTTTCAAACAAATTTGATTTGTTTTGGTACTTGAGAAATCTTACCTTCAAAAACTTTAAAAAGAAAAAACTAAAACTAATAAAAATTAGTGCATAATACTTACAATAGATAATAAAAATAATAGTAACTGAATAAATAATGATACAATAAATAATAAAGGTTAATAGAATGAATAATGATAGAATAAAAATAAGTATTATCGAGTAAAGACAAAAATTATTGTATTTGAGTTAAAGATAATAGAATGAATAAAAAAAAAAAAAATAAATAAATAATAATACTAAATATTTAATAGAAATACCAATAAATATAATAAATATTAAATATATAAATATTTATTAAATCTAGTATAAACATTGAGTATGGTAACTATGGTAATAATATTCTTTTATTTTATGCATAGCTATCAAGATAGCTTTGTTTAATTTTACTTGAAAAGGAAGATCTTGAATTTGGGTTTTAAGTTTTTATGGAGTAGGGGAGATTGTTCCACTCATTGGTGCATTGATGCTTTATAGAGTTTTTGACATATATTATTGTTCGACTGTGTTCAACAAATATATTTTTGCATGATGAGTATCTAAGGAGATAGGAGTGTTTGGATCTAGTTTGGTAGAAGAAAGAAGTGAAAGCAATTGGGAGTCTACCATGTAAGTAATCCCATACAAAGGTACAATTCATAAGTTTGATATTGTCATGAAGTTTTAAAACCTGTAATGATTTATATAACAAAGAGACATTGTTAAAACGGTCATTCTGAAAGTGTATGTTTTCAATGGCTTTATTTTGTAGTAAGAAAATAATTTTTAAGTATTTTTTTTAAGTATTAAAATTAGTGTCATCAGCAAAATGGTAAGTGTATAGATTATTGAGGCATGTATTTAATTCATTGGTATATACCAAGAATAGAAGAGGCCCAAGGATAAATCCTTGAGGGATTCCTGAATTGATAGGTTGGGTTGATGAGGTAATTTCATTTATAGTTACAAATTGAAGTCTATGGTTTAAATAAGATTCGCACCAGTTTAGAGGAACTCCATGAACTCCATAATATGCTAATTTGGTGAGAAGGATATGATCGTTTACTGCGTTAAAAACTTTCTGCAAGTCAATAAACACACCTCAAGCAAATTTATTTTCATTTAGTGCTTTTCGGATAATCTCTGTAAAGTCAATAAGTGCATAGGTAGTTGAATGTTTATGTCTAAATCCATATTCTTATTTATAAATGCAATTAAAAGTCTCCAAATACTTGTATAATCTTACATGCAACGAGTTTATCATCACTAACTAAATTATTACCAATATTAAGTTTTATTGAATGGCTTTATTACTATCGAATATCCAAACTTACAACCTTTTCTTCATTACTATTGAATATTCAAATGGAATAAAAGCTAATTGTTGCCATTATGAATCAAGAAACATTTTAAACTCCATTTGGAGCTGTCAATAAAAAGCTTCCAGTCGAGTGAGTTATATCAATGGCCCATTTTCCGAATAAGGAAACAAATTGCACTTCACCATATACAAAATTATCTTCTTTTTGAAATTATGGTTGTAATTTTTTCTTTTGAATTTTGTTACATATGTAACAAAAGCAACTTCGATCAGTTTTACATTTTTTGACTTTGAGATGATATCTTGATTTAAATTTCAATAATCTGATAATCAATGGGTCATCGCTTCAAATTTAAAGAGTTTATACAAACTGCAATTTCAAAGTTCTGTTGGTGAGCAGAATAAAAATATAGGCGCCATATGTTTGCTGCGTTAGATATTCTTCTAAGCTGTGCTGTTCAAGAATTATTTCTGTAATACAAAGTTCCAATAACAATAATATATTATTATATACAGTAATACAATAATATATTAGTATATACAATTATACTGTCCACGTCATTTGTCTTTAAGATAAATTGATATATTTGCATCTAAATAGTTCCATCCTAAAAAATTTTTGAAAATGTATATTCATAATTAAAATAATTTGAAAATGATTTTCTAAATGATAAAAACACTGAGATAAAAAATATGCGCTGGGGTACCTTCAATTAGGAGATTAAGTGTTAGACTAGTTTTATGTGGTGATGGTTGCTTTTACCCCAATATTGGAAGAATTAACACAGTTATTGCATAATTATAACTATACACACAGTTAAAAAATCTGACCACTTATAATAGTTATAGATAATTATGTATAAAAATGTTTGTGTTGGCAATATTCTAAATAATCATTTGTTGCATGAGTGAATGCATAGTTATCAACCAATATGAAAATATGCTCTCCATATATTAAAATGATGTGTAGTTTATTTAATGCTATCTTAAAGTATAACATAACTACTAAATGTGCACAAGTATAACTTTAAATGAAAGACAGCAAATCTGAATGAATGATTGATATTATTATATCAATTAGTTAGACAGATGGCTTCATTTGCCTCAAATTTCACAAGGATTGAACTATTAAAGTGTGGCATGATGTCATGTTTGCAGACAAAGCACAAGTTGAAAATTTCGCATCACACTGTCAATGTTCATTAGCCACTAAACTCATGCATCAATCCCTAATATGTTACACTTTTTGTTAGCAATGCTCAGCAATTATAATTTTGAATGTAATCATTGCCAACTATTGTACATATTTACACTTTTTACAAAAGATGAGACTATCAGTTCTGTAAATTATTTTGAAAAACAAGCAACTTGCAAAAAATTATCAAGATACAGCTCCATGAAAATGAGAATAATATTTTTATTCTACGACCAGGCAATTTACTCGATTTCAAGTCTATCAAAAACTGTAAGGTAAAACTGGAAGCAAGAGTTTCTAAACAAACCCAACCTCACTAGGAAATCTGAGAAAGGCTATAATAAAAGCGTCATATCATAAATAATGTCTAAATATTGTCGCTTGTAGAGTCCCTTGTTGTCTCAATGCTATGAAGAATAGATGCTGTTCTAAAAGTCTGAGGAGCCCAAAGTAATATAATATGTTTTATACTGTGGTTTCTTTTTTCTTTTTTACTCATATGTTGTTTTTTGATTTAAATTGTTTTCTAGTGAACCATATGCACACTATACAGTATAAAAACAGTTTTTTCCATTAAATAATGGGTGGCTTTTTATATTTGATTGAAGTTCTAATTTTTTTATTTCTCTTCATTTTATATTTGATGAATTTTTTTCCTTCAACTGTACTTTGTTTTTAGTTTTTTTTTCTTCAACTTTTTCAGTTATAAAGCACTTTAATTTTTACTGCAAATTGAAATGAATTAATTTTTCTTTTAGTTGAAATTTTTTATCAGTTAGGGTAAACTGGGGTAAAGTGAACTAGGGGTAAAGTGAACTATTTTTTTAAACTAAAAAGTTATCATGTTTAAAAAACTTTTTGTTAAGTAATTTAGCATTATTTTTGCTTAATACAACATTTTGAAATTTTTTAAATAAAAAAATTAATAAAATATAGCCTTTGTTTTGATGTAATAGCCATTTTAAAAAGCGAGTTTGGCGGAAGTTTTAAAATTACGATCTCAAACTTTGCTATGGGTTTTAGTAAATTCATGATTTGTTGTTATTAATGCGAACATCAGTTATATAATTTATATACATTTTAAAGATAATATAATGCTGTTAAAAAAAAATTGTAGTTTTTATCATAATATAAAAAAGCTAAGCTTTTAGTTTGTAAATCAATTTAGTTCACTTTACCCCTTATTTTTCTGCCTATTGGGGGTAAAGTGAACTAGTCTTTTTCTTATGTTTTTT